AAACACATGTGTATGTATGTATGTATGTATGTATGTATGTATGTATGTATGTATGTATGTATGTATGTATGTATATACACGCAGACACACACTATAATGTATATATATATATATGTATGTACACGTGTATAAAGAACACATATACATATGTGCATGCGTACATATATGCGTTTTCACATATTCACATATTTACGTAAGTACATATACACATGTACACAAACATACATATATATATATATATTTATATAAATAGACATTTACACATATAGACAAACACACACACACACACGTATATATATATATATATATCTCTCTCTCTCTCTCTGCATGTCTTTACGCTTTTCCATTTCAACTTGTAATTAAACGTAAATACAGACACGTACATATACACGTACATATATGTAAATGCATATATATATATATATGCATACATACAAGACATATTTGCATTGTATGTGCGCAACACATAGACACGTAATTAGACGCATATGTTTATGTTCGCATATGTACAGGTGTACACATAAGCACATCGACACATGTATACATGTATACATTTGCACGGATATTCAGAATCATATATATATATATATACACACACAAGTGCGTGCATGGATATGCCAGCAAGGCCAAGTCGAAGCCGGTTTACAATCAGCGAACCAAGCCAAGCGCCTCCTAGTAAAGGAGAAGAACGGCACTGCTCCGGCACCGGGGCCGACGAAGAAGTCGAACCCGAGGCAGCAGTTGTCTGGATTCGAGGTTAAGCTGTGGGAGTGTAAAGATCTTTTCTATTCCTGGCCACCTGACCTAGCAGCAGCCCCATATGAATCTAGTTGCCCATGAGCCGAGCAGTAGGGCAGGAACGAAAGGGCTCTAATCCCCCATGATCCGGCAACGTGCCATGGGCAAGCCAGGCTCCTGATATGATAGCTGCCTGGGTGAGTCCTCGAACTCTGCAGGGACATTTTGCATTGTCAAGCCACGGAAGCTCTTTGCCTTGAAACCCCAAACACTTGCCTTGAATACTCAATCTGCAGCCACCCTAAACTCAAGCACTCCCGCGGAGTGAAAGCCCCATGCATGCCCGCACCGAAACTTCGCAGATCAGAACAACATGGATTCTCGTTAGTTGGGGGGTTCATGATACGAGATAGCACCAAAGAAGTGTGTCAGTCCCAACGTCTTAGCCGCTCTTGACACCTCTGAATCAAGGTTTCGAAGCTTGCAGCAAACCTCCGACGTCTCCATGATTATGCCCCAAGCCCCAAACTCTAGCCATGAGCTCTTCTCTTCTTCCCTGATTTCGAGGCCGGTGCAGAGCCGTGCAGTTCCGTTAGTGCCTCGGGGTGTTGGCTTCCGAAACCTTGCGCCTGAGGATTGGATTTGGGTTTGCTTTGGTAGTTTCGAGAAGAGCTTAGGGATTTGGGATTGGGGTTTTGGGATTTGGGTTCCGGCTTTAGCGGGAAGAAACGGTCTAGGATGTATCCACGCAAACAGATGATGTTTTATTGGTATATGTGTTTAGCGCGAACTTGACGCTCTACTTGTACGCAGTGGTCGAGCTTGTTTGATAGCCGATTTTTCGGAGAGTTCCATGGAGCCCAGCCCATGAGATTTTCAGGTAAATCAAGCTTTGTTAGAGGTTACGAAGGAACGAAAGTGCTAATTAGTGATGCGTTTGCTATAAGACTGAGTCTAGATGTGCGGAGGCTATTCCATAAAGGCTTCGGAAGCTCTCATATGTTAATAATTATTCAGATCTGGAAGGCTCGGTGTAGATGATGTTTCTGATAGGGGTGGCGTGTCTCGTTTGAATTGGGGAAGTTATAGCGAGGTCAACGGAATTAGCGACCTGGCCTAAACGGTGTTGGACCCCTGGATGTTTGTGGGTGCGCATGCTCCAGGCAGGCAGTCCCAAAATCAGTTTCTTGAGGTTACCATTTTGATGTTTCAAGCCATGCGAAGGCTGGAGGTGTCTGGCCCGGCCCAACAAATCTATTTTGGTATGGATGGAGGTACGCAGTAAGCCGCTTCAGGGCTTAGGGTTTCATGCATGTAAGCAATCGTGAGTGGCAGGACGGAACATGAATTGACAGAGCTTGTCAGTGGCCAAGAGAAAGCTACTAAGGCTTAAGACTTAAGATACTTAAGATTGTCAAATATTCTGTCGAAAGCTCGCTGTGAGTCCTGAGAGCTCCGAAGCCCGTCAGCGAAAAGGCGTTGGAGGGATTCGGATCTGATATAGCAGTTGAAGTACCCCAAAAGTCATTGTTCTAAGTTACGAGCGTGAAGAAGGACAGTAGCAGGGAGTGATGAGGCTCCAAGGATGAGTCCCGAACCCCGAAGGAGCCCTGAAGTTGAACCTGAATTCGACATTCCTAGATCCTTCCCTTGGCCTTGTTGCTTCTGAGGGTGAACCCTCTGCAAGCCATGAAGAACCGCCTTGCGCAGCAACAGTCCGGGATGCCCAGGGGGTGTGGGAGTTGCAGAAGAGGACCCCACCCGGGAGCCCCCGCCCCCCCTGCGTAAGGCAGTTTAGGTGCGATTCACACTTTCAATTCGGGTTTTGATTCAATGTAGCCGCCTCAAGCGAATATCCTTATTATTCAGTACTGTAGGGCTATCATGGGCTTCCAGCGTTGTTTCATCCCTGGCATGTCCGGCTCATCAATGAACGGTACGAAAAAACATGGAGGGCCTGATAGTTTCTGAACCCTGCCAAAGTCCGAGAAGGCCCCACGTGAAGCGAAGCCCTTTGCAAAGATCACTCGCAAAGCAATCAAGGGAGCCTCAAAGATTCCTCCCTCATCCCGTGCACGCTTGACCGCAGACCCTTGTTCTCGAATTATTGGTCAGCATGAACAGCTCGCTCCCGAAACTTCCCTGACACGAACCCACGGTCCCCATACCCTCTACAAACTATTGAACCACCAGCCTACAAAGCCTGAAACCTGAATGCCCGCACCCCAATATCCTCGAAACCCCCCCAAGACCCGCATCCTCAGAACCCGGCAAGGCAGGACGCCGAAGACCGGCGCTTGCATGGGCTGCAGCCACTGGGCACAACATTAAAACTGCTTCTTTATTGAGGCACGGGGTGAAGATGTTGATGTGTTTGCGAAAGTTCCACTCTACATAGTCTACATTTGTATGTATATGTAAAACTGTGTACAGAGACAACGCTCTCGGGCCTCCCCAACAACTCCCCAAAATATGCACGGCAGTTTTCCAGACAGCAGTTCATCAACTCATACCTCATACCGTACGCACCCCAAACGTTGTGTTACGATAAACTTCTGTTCAAAGTACGATGTGGCACCATTGTTTATCTTTTTCTCCGGACAGAAACAATGAACGTGACACTCACTAGATATTACACCCAAGCTGTGGGCTTCAGGCCCTTTGCTAAGCATTCTATCCTCTCGTCATCTTGCCTTGCCCATCAGCAGACGAAACTGAGACAAGAAACGGTTCCTTTCGGAAAAAGCTTGACAATAATATCGAGGCCGCCCAAACAATCAGTTACACAGAAAATAATTTGCCTGCAACCTGATTGAGCAGAGTCTACTCTACACTGAAGGCCTCTACACAATACTTTCTTGCGGGGCAAACAAGAGTTCACTGGCAGTGAATTCCAGGCAAGCGGAAGATGCGCGTCAGAAGCTCAGGCAATGTTCTCCGGATCAGTGACATACATTTGCATGTCGGGTTGTGGCATTTAGAATCGTGATGTATCGAAAGGTTGCTCATTTACGACTGCTGCAGCCCGTGCTGTCTTACGTCATCACCAGCTAGAGTCGGGAAGGCTAGCGAGTAGTTGCGAGAGCGAAGGTGGACTTGCTTTCAAAGGGCAACCCCCAACCAGAGCTTGTGCTGTAACCACTGCCAAGTACTTTGGCCATATTATTACGAATGGAACACAGACTCCGTCAGCCGTCGACTAGATTTGAACGTAGGAGTTTCCCAGCGTTTGCAATCCTAATTCAAGGTGTCGTATACGCGAGAGTCAAAGAATACTTCTGGTCACTTGTGAAATTTCCACAGGAGCCCTTTACGCACACCAGGTTCCCGATGGACGTACTCGAGATTCCCGAAAAAAAGCTGGAAGGGTCCACGCGCGAGGATCGTTCGAAACGGCCCACGGGTCAACATCCGAACACCCAGCTAGCAGGAAGGCTCCTGGATCCAAGCAGGGATTGCAGTGAGCACGAGGTATGTAGGAAAGTGTTTCGGAAACCACCTGTAGCTGAACGTTGAAAATTGAGAAGTTCATTACAGGCATCATGAGGATCTCCTTGCACAATCCTCTTGATTTTTCTGCAACCGTCCCTTGAAGTGCCACTTTGCGAAAGCTTCTGTGCATCATGAAGTTGCCAGGAGCCCATTGATTCCCCGAAACGCTGAAGGCTGAGCAAAGTGTTGGTGAACCTTTGAGACCCAGAACGCACCTAGAATAAAATGTGAAGTCGTGAGCTCCAACACACGCCACATGCCACAGAACCTCCAGCCTAAACACAAGCCTCAAACCAGTTAGGGAAGTTTACGTGGGCTTGCGGGGTGTAGGGTGTGGCGTTCCTGGGTTCAGCGGCTTGGGCCCTCCTTAGGATCTGAGCTATACGGCGTACTATACGGATTAGAAAATCACAGCTCGCAGTCGTGCTGTTGATCGTAAAAACTATCTTGTCCGAGGTTGTTGGGTCACTTTGTTGCACGTGATTTCAATACCCGCACTAAACTCCCGAATCCGAGACCCTGAATTTAATCTTACGCTTAACCTGTCCTAATGTAGAGGGCCCCCTTCTTGTGTTCAATCAAGGGCCAGAATTGGGCAGTGCTTTTTTCCTTCCGTCAAGGTTTTTGCTGGACAACAAACTTTTCTGTAAATCTCTCTGGGCTGTGCGCGCAGAAGGACGCGGAAGGGCCGCGGAAGGGGATAGGGATCAATAAAAAAATAAAAAAGGATCAAAAAATAAATGAAAAAGGGATCAATTAAAAAATATAA